CCCCGCCACGAATTTTCTAGCGAGCATCATATATATATATATATATATATATATATTGATGAGTAGTATTTCGAGCCAAAACGAGCCGAACACGAACGATCAAATCTTTGTTTGTGTTCGGCTCGTTTATATATCGAGCACGCTGAACACGAGCTTCTTAATGTTTGACTCGTTAACTTAGCGAACGAATCGAACAACGAGCCGTTTTGACAGCCCAAGATGGGATTATGTAAAAATTTAAGTATGGATGTTAGATATGTCAATACATAAAAATTAAGTGTTATGTTTGCAAATCTTCCAATGTCAAATTGTTAATTGTGTGAAGAATCATAATCAAATGTCTTGAAACTTTGGGAATAGACGAAACTTGTTTCCAACCTAGAGAATGAAGAAGATCGAGCGAAGAACACACAAAATGACATGAGAATTCTATGGAGGTTCACCAATTTGATCGCTATGATCATTGTTGCCGCATCATATTTCACTATGATTTGATTGCGAAGAAAACATAAGTCTAAGGAAGATTTGCATACATGCATCTCAATTCTTATCTATTTACATATCTAATGCCGATGCTTCAATTTGTACATACATACATACATCCATACCACCTTACCAATGCATGAAAATGTGTATTTCACTCTTTAAAAGTTAAAATGGTGGTATTTTTTATGCCATTTGAAAGTTTTTCATGATATAATTGTAAAAAAGTAAAGTTGAGGTCTTAGATATGTAAATACATAGGAATTTGGTGGTGGCATGTGTGTAAATGCCCCTAACTCTAATTTTCCAAATCCAAACATTAAGGAATATTTACATACATACCACTCAATTCCTTTGTATTTACATATCTAACACCTAAACTTCAGTATTTATATACATATCACCAACCTATGAAAAGTTGTATTTAACTTTTTAGAGTTAAAATAGTGGTATTTTTGATGTGATAGAAAAGATTTAGGTGGCATAAATATAAAAAACAAAGTTTAGTTGTTGGATATGTAAATACGTCGAAATTGGGTGGTATGTATGTGAATGTTCCAAACATTAAATTCCCTCCACCCCTTCCCCTCTTGTTTATATAAGAAAAAACTCATGACGGTCGAAATATAATAAACATCTCGACCCTCAAACAAGCGTGCATAGAACATTTTCTTCGTAGGGCACGAATTAGACTCCATAACTTCATGCCTCCTTCAATGAATTTCGCAATTCTATTTGATGTTAATCCCCTAACATGGCTTAATATAGGTCTTTGGAAATTCATCGGAGTCGCTTTTATTCCTCTTGATTTGTTACAAGAGGAACATTCAAATTCGAAATCAAATAAGGGGGGAAGAATTGTGCTCGATTTGATACATTACACCTCATTGAGCAAAATGGCCCAAGAGAGCTTGAAGAAAGAGATCGAGGAGGCCGAATGCCAGAAATGCGAAGGCCCGAGTCCTTGTGCTAACAACTGTGGTTTCTTTGGGAGTTCGATGACTAACAACCTTTGCTCGAAATGCTATAGAGATCTTATAATGAAGAAGCATCAAGCGATGCTAGTATCACATCCTACCACTTCGGTATCTTCTTCTACTCTAATCGAACTCGTTTCTAATGAAACAGAGAAGCTGACTGTCGAAATTGTTGATAACCTCGACAAAAAAGAACCCGAGGAGCCTAGTATCAACCATCGGTCGGCTCGTTGCTCGCTCTGCCGAAAAAGGGTTGGCTTGACCGGGTTTCAGTGTCGATGCGGTAGCACGTTCTGCTCGTCTCATCGCTACCCCGAGACTCACGAATGCTCCTTCAACTTCAAAAATGCCGGCCGAGAGGCTATAACCAAGGATAACCCCGTCGTAAAGGCGGACAAGATTGTGAAGATTTGATGTCATTTGGATTGAAGAATGCTCTTATCGCTCGAGTTAATACTTCTGGCAAACAAAAGGTCTATTTTGATGAGGTTTGTGCTCCAAAGATGAGCTTTTAGAGATTGCCTTTATATTTAGCTGCTCTGCTTGTTGAATGGCTTGCTTGTGGTTTCCAAATCAAGAATAATGGGGACTGTTCTCTAATTTGAATTTTTTTTTTATATTTATTTATGTTTATTCAAATTTCTATTTTCTTGAAGTAATATTTCAAAACTCCATATTTTATTTTAAATTTATATGTGGTGTATTAGGAAATGCTTTGGTTGAGTGTCATAATCTTGAAAATATTATTATTATTATTATTATTTAATACATAAATTCTCATGTATTTACATATTTAACACCTAAACTTTACATTTTTATATTTCAACCCCTCAAATTTTTCATATTACATCAAAAGTATTATTATTTTAACTTTTAGAAAGTCAAATATACTTTTTCATGTATAAATAATGTGGCATATATGTGAAAAAAATGAATTTTAGGTGTTAGAAATGTAAATGGGCAGGAATTAATTGGTATTTATGTAAATCTTCAATTTTTTTTTTAATAAATAAATAGATAAATAAATATGTTTTGCAGCTATTTTTAAAATAATTGTAGGCATCTAAAAAGACTCCCTTGAATTATTGATTTTCTGATAATTCAAACATTTTTTCACTTTGGGTGAATTGCATATTGTATTAGCATGATGTTTAGGTTGCTTTTTTGTTTATATTATGCATTGATAATGAAGTAGTTGAACCTAATGAGTGAGGTTGGTGGGTACATTTGGGGGTACATGTTCATAGATTAATCAAATATTTTTATATTCCATGATAATTAAAAATTATTTTATTATTATAATTATTACTATTTTTGTACTCTTTTGAACTTCTAAATTTTTATAAATAACTCATAAATAGGGAAAATATTTGCGTACAAAAGACGTACGCAGCATTGCGTACGTTCAGGGGTTATTCAGGGGGTACAGGAGGTTATATCGGGGTTACCCTATAACATCTTTGTAAACTACTTGTAACCTATAAATGAGTTTCGCGCTTCTGTAATTTCATGGGTACAAATAAGTTACACGGAGGTTAAAAGTGAGTTACACGGATGTTACAAGGGGGAATGTTACAAGGGGGTATAACCCGGCTATAACCCCCTCTGTACTCCCTGAATAACTTCTGACGTACGCAACGCTGCGTACATCTTATGTACGCAAAGTGAGTTACACGGATGTTACAAGGGGGTATAACCTGGCTATAACCCCCTCTGTACTCCCTGAATAACCCCTGACGTACGCAGCGCTGCGTACATCTTATGTACGCAAATATTTTCCCATAAATAGCCCTCTTTTAACCTATTTGAGCGATAATTTTATACAGAAACAACAATAAGTCTTTATCCCACTGAGTGAGGCCGACTATATGAATCTTTTTCTCCATTGTGTCCTACTGAGTGATGGTTTTACGAATAGTACTTAAATTTTGGTTATAATATACAATGTCTTTATCCCACTGAGTGAGGCCGACTATATGAATCTTTTTCTCCATTGTGTCCTAATGAGTGATGGTTTTACGAATAGTACGTAAATTTTGGTTATAATATAAATTTTTTTTTTAACAGCCTTGATAATTATACAGAAAAATTCTCATTTTTAGGTTTATTTACAAAAATGCCATTGACTTCATTAATTAATCTAAATTGCTACCTCACCAATCCTTGTACTTGAATCTAATTGGGCCATGTGTTTAAAAACTCATAGATCCCTACCTTGGGCCAATCTTGGCCATTCAATTCAAATAAAAACTCCCTCTTTCATCCCAACCTTAGATTTCACCCCTTGATCTCTTTCAAAGGAGTAATTCAAAGCACTCAAAATTTATGCAATTCTATCAAATTTTTCATTGAAATCATGGAGCTTTTCATCCTAACTTATCCTAAAGTCTTTAACTAGCATTTTTAAATGTAAATTACATATATTTTACCATGCTTCTTATCCAAATTAAAATATATTTATATAGAAACATATGGCTTTTCATCCTAATCTATCCTATAGTGTTTAATCAACATTTTTAAATGTAATTATATATATATTCCCATGTTTAGTTAATCCAAATCGAGCCAAGCATGTAAGATATATCTACACGCGTGCGCGCGCGCGCGCGCGCACACACACACAATATTATGTTTTGTATGCCTAATATTCTACATGTAGTAATACATGCTTCCATGCATTTTCATGTGCAAGCAAAAAGTTACATACAAGTTTTATTGGGTAATTTGTATATCTTCATGCATAATTAGCCTAAAACCAAAACTTATGATGTGTAAACCTGAGGGCTTTCTTGAGTAATCTCTTTAATTATATTATTCTCATTATTTTCATCCTAAAAAATTAAAATTACGAGCGTACTTCTCATTAAAAGGCCTTAACTGAAAGTTTAAAAACTTAAATTAATTTTAATTACACCCTAATTTATTTAATTAACCCTACCTGAAACTCTTAAAGTTTAAATTGATCCTAAGTGTATCTTAATCCATCAAATTATCCTTAACCAAAACTTAATAATGTTTTAAATGAGTAAAACAACTAATTAATATACATATTAACAACTTAACTAACCAATTAATGTAATAACTAATTAATTTATACCTTAACTCATTAAATAATAACTTATATTAATTAGTTAATAAGTTAATTATCAATCAATTGATAAGATAATTAAACAATTAATACTTTTATTAATTAACAAATAATCTGATCTATTAACTACTATTTTAATTTAATGATAATTCATTCAATTAAATACTTAATAATTTAATTAATTAATTAAAATTTCAATTAACTTTTTAATACTATCAACTAATGACATAAAACTTAAACTCAACTAATTCAAAAATAACTCAACTGATTAATGAATAATTAAATTAGCTAATAAATAATTTACTTAACTCACTAAACAATTAATTTTAAATTCATCTAAAACATTAAGATTTAATGATAATGAGGAATATATATATATATATATATATATATTTGAAAGTA